ATAAACCACGCTGCTATATTGAACACTGAGCTCAAGGAGGGAAGTTTGAACTCTAATGGAATTCCTGAGCAGACAACTGGTACACAGGACACAGCCTTACTCCTAAATCACCATCATGTTCAGTAAAACCAGCAGAAGATGACAGTTTTGCTTAAGACCCGGTTCTAGTTGTGAGGATGAAGTGATCTAGCAACTTCTTAGTTGAATAAGAACAGAAAGCATTTCAAACTAAGCCACAAAACCAAGGCAAAAGCAATTTTTTTTTGCTGTCTTTTCATCATTCTGAACTTAACTGCTTTACTGGTTCTTCAAAATACATGTCTTTCACCTTAATGATTCATTAATATTAAAGAGCAATTTTACAATGGGTTACAAACCAAAGGCATTTCATGCCCACATGGTACCATATCTTAAAACAGTATCTTAATACAAGTATTTCATTCCTGAACAGCAACTAGCAACCCAATATAAAAGTAATACATTCTAAAGAAATATAAGGTACTTCCCCACTACACTGCCTGATCAGATAAGAAGCTTGTAATGATTTGGGGCAGCAAGTGTCAAGTGTTAACATTCCTAACAATACACAAAAAAAAAGAGAGCATTATAAACATTTTCAAATTTCAAAATATATTCTAAAAGAATCTGTTCTTTAAAAAACTATTCCACAAATAAGCAAAACTTCTGGTTAAGCCAAGCAGATCCAGTTTGCAACTTCCAGTTTCCAGAAGTTTTACAATTATTTTAATGGCATGTATACATACAACTTTCTCCAGCCTGAGCACACAAGTGAAGAAAAAAAACAAACCAACCCCAAAAAAACCAAACAATTGTCTTTACCCAAATTTCAGAAAACAAGCAAGAATCTAGACAAGTACAAGCATGACAGGGAGGGAAAAGAATCCTTCCAAAAAGCAGGCTACACTGCTGTGTCAGTGATCTACTGTGAAATATCAGAACCATTGCTGCTGGGGCTGTCCAGAATATTTTTAGTATTATTTTTAGTATCTTAGATAATGATGCAAAATGTAAAAAGTGCCTCTCCAAAGAATTTAAAATCCACATCTTAAATAGACTAATTATAGACTACCTCTATTTATATAAGCAACTGATTTTTAATTTGCAGCTTTAACTCAATCAATACTGAGGCTTAACATGCATGCTGAGCTCCTTCAGCCTTCAGTTGCCAGCACCACAGAGTATCTGGCCTACATACCAAACTTCAGACATAGAACTTGAGAACTAAATGCATCTTTTTCTTTTTTTTAGTACAAATTTCCACAGGCAGCAGAAAAACTTAAAAGTAGTGTTTTCCTTGGAAACGCCTAATGAAGAGTCTACTGTATTGTTATTCAAATTGCTCGTGGCTGCATAAGCATAGATTAATTTATGAAGAGTCATAATAAGAAGGGGTTTTCTCCATGAGAAAACTCAATTTGGTGTCACTCTCATTTAACAGCACCAGCAAACTCCGAGTTAGACCAGGTTTTGCCACTGACTGCATGCAAAGTCAGTTTAACACTGTAAAGAAAGACAAATTGTTTCAAAGAGAATGAGTAAAATACTTACTGGCTTGTGCAACGATGTTGGTATGCCTCCTCAGCATAGCAGCAGCAGTTTCTGACAAGGTCACAATTACTTCAAGTGCCAACTGACGCTGCATGTTACTGAGACTGGCATCTGCACACAACTACAATCCAGAAGATTAGAGCAAATGGTTACAACAGAAGTTCTGGGCCATAAAAAGCGATTTATTTAAAAACAAAACCAAAACCAAACTAGCTTTACCTTCAGACTTAGTTGCAATGTAGGCTCTAACTGTGGTCGTAAATACTTGGGAACAGAATCTGCAATTTCTACAAGGGATTTCAGGACAGAATCGTCATTTTGGTAGCAGGAATCATTAACAGCCTATAAAGGGGTCAGATGAAGATAAGGTTAAATAAAAATAAATAATACTCTGAATGGGACCACTGTTCTAGAAGAAATTTGATTAAATGTAATCTTGTCTTTCTGAATAGCCTCATTTAGCATTAGTAGCTTAGCATTAGTAACTAAAACAGTTGAAGCCTTAGGCTGCAAGAACTGAGCAAGAGTTTGATAGAACTAATGCTGCTAACAAAGAACTAGCTGAATCTGGCAGATACACGCGGAAAGAAGAAGATAACGACCAAGGAGACAATTCCAAGAGAATAAAGTAACTTCAGAAGGCGGCAGTCCAGTAACAGTGAAAACCAGTATGAAATCAAGAGACCACTGATACAAATTAAGTTATTGGACTTGGGGATCGGGTCATGGGTGGTACAATTCAGAAGTGTGAATTGGGGTAGGAGTCCCTCTCCAGAGGCACCCAGCTTGAGCTGTAACCTGAGAACTAATAAAAAAAACCCACACTAATTGGAAGCCTTCATTCAGACTCTGCATTTTCAATGGGATCCTAGGGTCAGAAAATGTATAAATCCATAACAGCTACAAAGAAATAATATGCAGGGTCGAAAACATCAAGTTTTCTGCAGTAAGTTATGGCTCACAATGTTATACGCCATCAATTTTGACCATTATTAGTTTAACTAATACAGTAGACAGACACTTAAAGAATTAAGGTCTCACATCAGAGGCACCAACATGCAAAACCTCACACTATGTTTAGACAACCATAACTTCAAAATCCATTTTAACTTAAGAAAAACTCTTCAAAGTAGCTGCTCAAAAGAAGGAAAATGAGTAACTCCTTTTTCCCCCCCTTACATGACAGCAGCTTTGAATAGCTTATGCTTACAAACACCCAACAACTCTGGAGAGCTACTGAATTAAAGCAGATCTTTCAGCCTTCACTCACAGGACACAGGAAAGAGAAGAAGCAACCAAGCTTTTTGCAAGTATCCTTCCTACATCCATAGCTACATTCTGAAAAGTAATTTAAAACTTACTTTTAAGTGATCAGGTTGATACTTTAGTACCAAAACAGCACACAGTTATTCAAAGGTGTTAAAACTCTTCTAGAAGCTGCACACAAAACCCCAAACCTCTAAAGAAAAAAACCAGTCTTTAAACAGACTTTTGGGATTTTGAAAGGAATTTTCATTAGCGAAGTGTTTGATGTCTTCCTAATGTAGAAACATCTGTTAAAGTGAAGAGTTACGTGTTTTTCTTAATACTTAAGTCTAGAAGCCAACACTTTGATAATGCCAATCGAACAGCCCACGCTTTCAACATATAAGCAGCATCTTCTAGTATCAGAAACATCCTATGAGGGGAAAATAAATCTATCTTGATTAAGGCCTTTTGTATAAATAGTTATCATTCTTCGTCTGATTTTTTGCTAAGAATAATGTAATATTTACCGGAAGTTCCTGTAAAACTCTGTACTTTACACCCATTTTACCTTTGACAGTTTTTTAAAGCAAGACTAGGTTTCTGAAAAAAGAAGTTCAAAGTGCACGGCGAGCCCTAAAAGGCAGAAACACTTTTCTGTAGTATCGAACACCAGCAACCACAGAAGAAAGTTTAAGTTCCAGATGCTTTTACCTCCACTACACGGTAAATCCCTGGTATCTAAAAGTTCCAACTATCAGTACTGAAAGTTCAATTTTCACTGTAACCATTACATATTTTACTGAAAGGACTGAATTGCCAACTCAGAATTTTACTTTTAGCTTTTTTACCACACCAATATTTCAAAATGAACTTCAACAGCAACAAAAAAAGCATCCAACTGTTTCCAAAGGTCACTCACCACTATTCGAACACATCCCATCTCCTATTTATAAACTCAGATCTTCATATCAATCTTGCATTACCACAGCCAGAAAATCTAGTCCTTCTCACAGTAAGTACTTTAAAAAGACAGATTTCATAGCACAGTTCTGTGCTGTATATTTGCAAAATGAAGCTTGCAAATGCAAGCCAACTGCATGTGTTTTTACAGCCTAAAATAGTAGCACTGAAACTTATAGCCCACAAAGTGGGCTATCAGTCTGAAGTCTAAAAACAGCATACTATTTAATTGCCAAACATCAAAACGAATGGCATGCCCACCCCAAACCTTGATTCACTCCCACTCATGCAGTACTCAGTAGCCAAAGTCCTCTCAACTAGCTACAATTTTTGAACAATACGATTGTTATTGCCAAAGTCACAGACAGGGAGTAACCACCAAATAGTGACCTCAATATCAAAATACTTCTTGTACGCACTTACAGCCCACTTTCAAGTTCAGCTAATTTTAATAAATTCCCCTCAGTTTCCATTTAAAATCAAGCAGAATTCCATCAGTTGCAGAAACCAGTAAACTTGGCACAGCATTTCTTCAGCTTGCCACAAAGCTCACACAGACAAGGTTTATAGCTTACACTGTCAACAGGAACCTGCTGTACTGACTGTAGCAAGCAGCCAGTCTTTAACCTGAAGTTAGCCTAATTTAAAATTGCCAAAAGTTCGCTATCACTGTTATCACAGGTACTTAGTTATTTCCACTTTTTCTTGATATACAAAGGGAACTGTACTGTGAAACTGTTGTCATTCAGCCCTCAATTTCCATCTCTAGTTTGGTTTACAGTAAGCTTCCCCCAAAAGTCAACAACTTTAGATTAGAATTCCAACTTCACTCAAATTCATCCATCCTAAAAAAGTTCTAATCCAGCTTCAGAAATGGTATGAAGCTCAAAATGGCTTTTTTTTTTTTTTTCAAGTTCCTAATTTATCAAACTACAAAGATCATTTGTCCAGACTGTTGTTCTTATTCTAACAATCTTTATTCAGAATAATTCTACACTGTCCTCTAAACTTAAGAGGACAGGATATCAAGGGTCAATGGATTTCCCAAATCCTGATTACTTGAAGTCTCAGGGCAGCCCATGTATTTCAGTATCATGGTTAATTTTAAAGCTGTATGATTCCCAGTTAAAGTTAACTCAAAATACCTAGGTAACACTGTGTAAATTAATCAGCACTAAACTATTTACCTTAAAACTCTATCAACTAGCTTGTATTTATGAAATTCCATATCCGTTTCAGTGTATCTTGCTGGTGACTGATGCCAGGCTAATTATGATACAATTAATCCAGGTCTCAACAAAATTTCATACACTACACAAAATTTGCAGACCAGTAACTTATACAGTCAGACAGTAATGAGCACATTAAGTGTTATTTGTGTGGTTTCTTACCTGCAAGATTCCAGGTAGCAAGTCTGCAAAGTGTTTAAGTAGGGGAAGATTGTGCTCATTAGCAAGCACAAAGGCAGCTGCAGCTCTAGCAGACAGTGTCTTGATCTAGAAGACAGGATTGGAGAAACAAACATGAAGAGCTGGTAATGAAACATGCCTTTGTTTTCTTTTAATATTAGGCCTACTATGTGACTACACTTTGTATTATCATTTTCCTTTTACACTTTCCTAACAGATATAACAATTAGTTTTTAATACGGATTTTACATCTTGCTTCAACCTAAGGTAAAGCAGTAATGAAGATCTTCAGCATATATGTCTTCCATGGTATAAAAATGTTTATTATATTATGAGGTGGCAAGTATTCTCTAGTTTTGTTTGCATCTGGTTTTTTTTTGTTTTGGTTTTTGGGTTGTTTTTTTTAAATGAAAAAAGAAAAGGAAAAAAAACTATTGTTTTCAACTTCCCTCCCAATTTCAAATGTGTATGGAAGTGCCAAAGTCCCATCTTTCAAGAAGTGTGATCTAAGTGTTCAAAACACGCTTCTTTAAAGGCATGACTTGTGGTACTTTAGAAAATGTTATTCAGTTGACTTTCAAAGGTCAGAAAAAGTAATCCATGGGGGAGGAACAAACTGAACCCATATATCACAGCAGGGTTTCCTATCCTTGCCCAGCATTTCCACAACAAGAGAAACATTTTCAAAGTACAATTCTCTGCACAAATCAATAAATCTGAAGCCTTCCAGAAAAGCAAGGCTTGCTAATATACCCTTACAGCAAAACACACAGTTCAAGGAGCTGTCGCATATTCAGAGTTTGGAGACATACTGTGTACAGATACTATGTGTAGAGAATCTACGTGTTTGTTGTGTTAAACACAAGGGCCAGAAAGAAAGCTTAGTAAGGAGTTTCTGACCCCTCAAATGCTGCTAGCTAAAACCCCTGGCTCTGGTTTGGGCCACCGTAACTTGATTTCTCCAAGCATAACTACTAGGGAAGAATCTGCGCCTAAGCAGTGCAAATAGAAGCTAGCCAGCCAGCTTTAGTACCATAAAAAGGTTTGCCCCTTTTGTTTTGCGGTAGGCATGCATAATCAAAACACCAGCTGTACATCAGTTTCAGATAAAGCCATTCTCTGGTTGTAATCTATGGTTTAATCTTTATATTTGAGACTACTACACTAAGTTTCTGTGCTCAGGACATAGTAGAAAAACAAAGAAAGGTCTTACTGATGGATGTTCTTGATCTTGCATACACTGAACCAGCATTCTCTTAATGACCTCCAAATAGTGTTGCTGCTGATTCCCAAAAACCCCAGGGAAATTCCTAAGGATAAGAAAAGACAAAAATGTTGATAAAACTCACAGTTTTAACCTTATTTTAAACTTATCCATTGTTTAAGCTACAGATTGTAACTGTACATGTAAGAGTTAAGTAAACCACAATACAGCAGAATAAATGAAATATATGATTATTTGATAATTAAGTGGTGGAAGTTTTTCTTACATTTTTACAGCCATGATTTGGCTAACCTGCGAAGATGTAGCAAAGTCCGAAGGCTTACCAGAAAATATGTAGAGCAGCCTCACGCAGACCCACATTCTGAGAGCTGACAGAGTCAAACAGGAATTTCAGAACTTCTGGCCACTGGTTGTTTCCATCTTCATCTAGATGAAACACAACAAAATTTTAGGATAAGCAAACTTAAGAGCGG